AGTCATTACAAGTAATCGAAATACTGTCATTATGATTTCTCGTTAGCATTATTTTTTATTAATCCAAGTTTAATCAGCTTGGGGCTGGCATGACCTGGTAATTAGGGGGGGGGCTGCCTCTTGATTTAGAGATCTCAGGTTTGATTCCCATTGTCATCAAACATGTTTACACTTTCAGCCACAGTGCATTATAGTTGTTTCTTTGCTTATGAGTTAAAGTGAAGCTAATAAAGACTATCTGCCACCATCTTAATTCTGAACTAGAGGACAGGCAACTGATTGGCAGTACCATCCACCAACTCTTGGGCTACTTTAGTATTTAGTATTTTACAGTATGTCATGTTTCTCTTCTATAACTGAATAACAGTATTTTTTAATGTTGAATAAGATGTAAAATTACTGTTTTTACATTGTTGCACATAATAACTTATAATTTGTGTATTCCTATTCTTGAGTATTAAATACACCATAAACTTACCTTTCCTATATTGTATATGCGTTGTATGTAACACCCACCACAACTCTTACTTTCCTGAATTTGTGTACTGGTTGAAGTTGTGACAGGCACTGGCATATGTCTTGAACCCGCAATTCTCTGACCAAGGGGCAAACGCTCGCGAAACAATATTCTTTAAATTTTAATTATATACATAACCATGCCAGCCTTTTATTTTTTAAAACCATATGATAAATTACTATTAAAATGTACTAATCGTTTTCAAGAATCAATAACAAAATCAACAAATTAATATATTAAAACCTGCAAATATTAATCATTACGTTAATACTAAGAACAAAAACATAACTTTAAGTTTAACATGGCTTACTCTGATCGACTTTATATATCACATAGAATAATATCATAAAAACATAATCCGTAATCGATTATGTACAAATACGCTGCGATTGCGATATAGACTTCGTAAGGCCTAGAGAACAGTTTTTTTACAGTAACTCGACCAGCCCTAAAAGTTTTTCACCTCTTCTTCCAAAATTTCCAGAGAACATAGCCGAATGATTATCGATCAGTTATTATCTTCACACGTGAGAGAACTTCGTAATCAACCCATACATTAAATGTAACTTTGATGGAAACTAACATGAAATAACATCAGGCTAAAAGTTCACAATGTAATGATCATAACACATTTATATAAAAATATTGTTGTTTTCATTGATTCATTGTTATAGTAATAAGCCTTATTGTTTGGTTTGATTCCATCGCTGAGTATATATTTATATATATATATATAGCTTTTCTCGTTCCAAGAATTAACTTAACGTTTAATAAGCCTCTCGCACATTTGCTTTCGCATATTATGGATAGAGAGCGTTCTCTTGTTCACTTCAAAATTTTTGGAAAATGCCAAATACTTTCTTTCGAAGTGCGCGTAATTATCAATCTACTCTGTGGTAATGTGCAACTGTGACGTTGTTATAACAAGCTTTTAATACAGACGGTGTTATTTTACGAAAGTTTGGTGAAATGCAGATTATTTTACTTAGGGATAGCATTAATTTAGAATTTGTTGCCTATGGAAAGTTTGGAAATTTGGATTTCAATATCTTATGGATATTAAAATGTTAAAAGTATATAACTGTATAATGTATATACAATTTAAAACAGTAGTTTTCTTTCCGTTCAAGTTTTTGATCATTTATTTGTTATTAAATACAAAGCTATGCAATAGGCTATCTGTGCGGTACCCACCACAGGAATCGAAAGCCGATTTTTAGCGTTATAAGCCTCAATACTTGTCGCATGTGTGGATCTAGGAGAAGGATCCAGAGACTCTGGACCCTCCTCAATATTTAACAGTACTACAGTGAAATTAATGTAAATTTATAAGTACTGCTAGTAAAGGTCTAGTTGGACTCATCGTACAAAGGCATGGGTCCTTCCCTGATAAGGTGTAAATTGTAAAATCTGGTTTTTACATTATATTGTTGCGTCAGCGAGGTCAGGTGACTAGTGTCACGCCACTCCTTCTCTCGAACCTTCGTGAATTATCGGGAGACTACTGGATACGTGTTAGTCTTGTATATATAAGACGTTGACAGCGTGACGGGACAACAGTGTAGTGAGTAATTGAACTGCAGTCAGAGAGTATTGTTGAAATTGAGCACGTTCGTTGTTATAGAGCGACTGTTGAAATTAAGTGTATCGTAAAGTTATATTCAGAAAGAATAAACCAGTTTTATTTAAGAAAGGACTTGTGTCGCTAAAGTTTCGTCGGAACGAAGTAACGGAAAATTAAGTGACGACTGGAGGCGTAACAAATTGGTGTCAGAGAGTGGTATATAAAAACAAAAATAGAAACAAGAAGCTGCAAATCAAACTACAGCCTAGCAGACTT